AACAAATTGCTCTGAGCAAGCTTGGCATTCCCGTGACCCTATTTGCTTAGAAACTCTAATGTCAGTGAATTACAGCTATCTTCCTGCTCCATGTCTGCACCTACACACTTGATCATGCTTCGAGAAAACGCACCCTTTTCTATCTGGTGTCACCTCAGTTTCTCAACTCTGAACCTCATATGGGCCTCTAATATAGCCAAGCCAACTCTACCACAGGGAAATTAATCTTTTTCCCTGATTAATTCACAAACATTCTACTGAGTAACTCCATATATTCTCTATCTTCAAAATTTTAATATCTTCTTCAGCTCTGCCTTATCTGTTGAGATTGCAGAAGTTTTTCTATTTCACTTAGAAAAGATAGGTAATTATAAGACAACTGCTATCCACTGGTTCCATCATATCTATGTGTCTAATGGATACCCATACGTCATTCTGTCTGTTTTTACAGAGACTCACTCCATGTTCTTAACACCAAACTTCCCATTTGTATGCTCTACCTGATTTCCTCTAATCCACTCGAGGACATGGCTTCCTCAAATACACTCCTCTCCTGTTTAGCCAGTTTATACCTCTCTCTAGATTAGATTATTCCCATTAGCAAATGTACATGCTGTAATACCCTCAACATTAAAAAAAAAAAAAAAAAGATTTCAATCCCCACCCAGCAGCCATTCCGTATCTTTGGCATTTTTTTTAAACAAAAATTATTTAAAAGACACTTTCATTTATCTCATTTTCTCTTGAAGTCATGGTATCGTTTTCAACTCTAGTTTGCCACAAAACAGAAAATCAGTGACTTCTACACTGCAAATCTAATGGTCAACTCCAGGCCTGAAATTCCTGTTTTACTTGACCAGTCAGAAGCCCTGTATGTGATTGTCCATTTATCATTCACTTTTCTTGGCTTCTGAGGGCATCTTCTGTTGTGGTTCTCCTCCTACTCCCTGGTAGCTGCCCACATTCTATCTCAGCTTCACACCTCTGACTGGAGGCGCTCCAACACTGAGACTTCAGGCTGGGGCAATTGCTCTGGGTGAAGGCATCCAAGCCTTTGCCTTCAAATTCATTAATTTTCTGAAATTTCCTAATATCTATATCTCTGGTCTGAGATGTTCCTTTATCTCTGGGCTCATGTGTCCAGCTGCCCACTTAACGTCGCTAAGGATATCTAACCAGCATCTCAGATTTCACATGATTAAAAACAAACACGTGAACTCCCCTCTCATCTACACCTGCTCCTCCACAGTGTTTCCTGTGTCGATAAATGCACATTTCACTCTTCTAGGTTTACAGACCAAACTTAGGGGTTATCCCTGATTCCTTTATCTTTTCACACTGCACATCACTGTTGGAAACTCCGTCAGTTCTGGCAGGAAATATGAAATACAGCCTATGCAGAATTTCAAAAACTCCATCTCTAACAACTCCTTCAAACCACCTTGTTTCTTACCTGAACTATTGTATTGTATCTGGCCTCCCCACTTCTACCTTTTCGCTACTCCAGTCTACAGCTGAGTGATGCTTTAAACACTCAACTTATGTTACAATATTTCTAGGATCCCAACATTCAAATGGCTTCCCATCAAACTCAGAATAAAGGGGATGTAGTTTATGATGTCCTCATGGTCTAAACATAAACCACTCTGAACTCTTCATCGGGATCCGTGATTTCCTGACCTGAGGCTCCTACAGTTGGGGTATGAAGAGGCCTTTTAAAAGTAAAACAATATTAGGTTGGTGAACATGGAAACATTGAAAGTAATGGCAAAAACCACAATTACTTTTGCACCACCCTAATACCTTGAAGCTTAAGCTGGATTTACTTCCTCCCCAAGATGCCTCTGTCTATGCCTCCTTGCCTTGCTCATTTCCAGCAGCTGTCGGCCATCTGGCCATTCCTTGAAGGGACAAACATTCTTCTGACTTAAGACTTTAGCACATGTGATTTCCTTTGCCTCTACCTCTCTTCTGCCAAGATTCCTCGTGGTTAGGTATCTTACATCCTCCACCCTAACAGAAGGGACATTCCCTGGCCATTTCAAGAGCGCATGCATGTTCTATTCCCTTTTAGTCTGAATTTTCTTTTTTTTCCTTCACAGTACTTATCATGACTTAATATATATTTATATAGTATGTATGGATTCTATTGCTTTACCAGCTAGACTAAATGCTTAATGAAAAGAAAGCAGTTTTACTTTTATTCACATCTCTACGTCCATTGCTAGAACAGTGTCCGAGACATGGTAGACATTTATTACTAAATGGATAAATCTAAAACAGAGTGACTTAGAACTATTCCTTTTCTTCCAAAAGGCAAGCATTACAAGTTCCACTAAATAAGTCAGTCTTTTCTAAAGAAGGTGGCTTTTGGATATTAAATGCTTGTAGGCTTTTAAAATTAATAACGAAACAGTTTTAAGTGAGGTTAACCCCAATCACACCACTTTAATTGCTGTCAGCAACTTTATTCTCCCAAGTACTTAAATAATACACAAATACGCCTATGATGATGATCTGTATCTACAAAAGATGAAGATTTACACTTATTTGGTCAGAAATACTTTTGAAACAGTGTGGAAAGTGGACAGGATATTTGGGAGAACAAGGCATGTATCCCTTTCAGAGATAAGAGAACCAAGGGGTTTCAAAAGAATCAGCAGATGGGAGGTGGAGTTTGTCTTCTGCACTATTTCTACTTCTGATATCGTTTTGGATAAAGATCTATGCTTCTCGAGTGTGTCATTTATATTAATTCAGATAAACATCCTGCTCAGTAATATGGAAGAAACTTACAGCCACAGAGTAAACAATGACAGCCAACCATAGACAATGAATGGACCATGTGAGATCCAGGAGCAGGGTTTTGCATTCAGTATCTATGCTTAGGCCCCAACCTTTTGTGAGATGCCTGTATCTGAAATAGCCCTCCTAGTTCTAACCCATGAATACTGGAATTTCTCCCATTAATCTGCATTATCAGGTCAAATGTATTTAGTCCCATACCCAAAATGTAAAAGCCAGCATGTAAATTCATACAGCATTAACACATTTAGAGGCCATTTGTAGCACGGCATAATTGCGACATCCACGTTTTTAATCCATGCAATCATAAATTCCGTAACTTAAGTTTCATTATTACAAAAAGATTGAAAAAGCCTGGGCAGTATCACAAATAGGACGGCAGGGACTCTAAGCAGTTGCTTTGACCCAACTCATTCCTACCATTGACAATACCTGTAAAGTGATTTCAAAACAAAGATAGAGCAAAGCTCACCTGAACCCTCAGCCAATCCCTGGGATTATTCTAGCTCCAAATTAAGAAGAGGTTATAAACATAACCTTCTAGAATTATATGAAACACCAATGGATTATGGCACTTCCACATCTTTCTCTTTTTTCCTGTGCTACCAAATGTTATAATCCCACTGAACATCTTGTAATTTTCATGCTTTATTGTGAAATACATGTTCTTCTCATCCAGAGAAGAAACCTGTGTTCAAAACCCTTTATGCCAAAAGAAGATAGAAAATTCATGAATATAGGCTGACTAATAAGACTATTTGATCTTTTGCAGATGTCATAAATGTAATATTTTACCTAATGCCTTCACAATCCTAAATTCACTAAGGGAGGAAAGGAAAGATTGTATGAAACACTCAAAAGTATTTACAAATGAAAATGAGTCTAAAGTTGCTACAGGTTTTTCTTCATGGAACTGTTGCCTCTTTACCTGTGTTATATTTCCAAATGTTTACTGCAGCTTAGAAACATATGCTCCCGAGTCAGTGACTAAAAATCCCACTTTTATTTTTGGAAGCTTTAATCCTACAAATTTGAAACAGACACTATGATAAGATACATTTATAAATTCTGCAGTGAGCATATGTTTTTTTTCTCAATATTAAGGACACCTTTTTCTTTAGCTAGCAAAAAATCCTTCTATCAAAATTTTGACATCAAATATTTTTATGCCTTTACTACACACAACAGCAATTCTTTTAGGAAATATCATTAAATATAAATCAACTCAGATAATATTTAAGTATATAATAATATTAACAATCCTTTGCCAAGCTATGACTACAATTAAATGGCCTTGAGCACAACTTCCAATACAATATCTAGTTTTCCTTTTTACAATCAAGGTCTCAGGCTCACATTCAATCTCCGTTGAACATCTACAATTAGGGCACTGAGGATGGAGTACTAGTTATACAAAATGCCTTCTATATAATATATTCTTAGAAAGCAACCTAGACCTGTACAAAAATAAAATGTCAAGGTCAGGGACAAAATCTTTGCATTTCAACTATCCTCATTTGTTTTCATGTATGGCAAAAAGATACTTCTTCAGTAAAGGCCACTTAATGATAGTATGCTTCTAAACTAGTAGATAGCATGTTTATAAAATGATAGCATAGTTTCCATCATATATACATTGAACAAAAAAATACTCATTGTTATGAAATAAGCTATAATTTTAATTTCATTGAAAAAAGAAGAAGAAAATGAATGTTATTCCAGACACTAATTCTACTCTGAGAAGAAGTAAAGCAATGTGTTTAAGGTTTGGATATATGAAGAAAAACATGTTAATAAATAAGTTCTATTCTTTTTTACTTTGAATATACTGTATTTTACACTATCTATTACAATGTGAATTTTATATATGCTTTTCGCCCATTGAAATGAAACTTATACAATGCCTTTACTTGATAATAACTTGGTCATTCCATAGTTTTAAGACTATTTGGTCGCTTCGTGTTTGTTGATATCACATATCAAAAAGAAACAGAGGAAAGTCAGTGCATCCCCAGTGTCATTCCTGGCCACCTCACATGTCTCATTTGTGAATAGGTAGTATTCAATGCAAATCAGTGATGACATTTTCTCTGAGAATGCAACAGATATCTTCTCTAAGCAGATTTAAGAAAATGTAGAGATAGAAAAGCATAAGTGTTGAATATGAGAGCAGCTAAATTAAATGTAAAATTTACCCCTTATTTGCAGTGTCAGTCTCTCTTCTCTCAATTCCCAAAGGAAAAGCGTGGCCCAACTGACAGAAAGGTGATTCGTCTGGATTTATAGAATATTGGAATGGATCTTTGGACTGTTGTCTCACTGCCTCCTCCCTGCACCCTATAATCCCAATGTCCACTTCAAACCATTCTGCTTGACTTCTGCCAGATTCACATTCCTAGAATACCAGTACAACATAGTGGAAAGAGCGCTGGAGCCAGAAAGACATCTGAAATTCTGGTTCCCTCACTATCTTTATCTGTGGCTTTCAGCAAATCGTTGAACATTTCTGAACATCAGGTTCCTTCATGTGCAAAATGAAAATAATGTGTAAAATATTGTTCATTTTATTGCATAGTTATAAAAATTGTGGATATGTATGTAAATCATCTTGCATGCAGCAAATGCTATTATGTATTGGCAAAATGATGATGATGATGGTGATGGTAATGATGATGAAAAGAGGCACAGAAACTCCATCTCTTTTCAGAAACTTGCAATTGGACCCTTTGTATGATATGTAAAGACCAAATTTTTCTGTGTGAAATGTTAAGATGCTCTATAAATTTTTCCTGCTCTATGTATTGAGTACAATGTCTGCTACTCACAAAGGCATATTTTTTCTGCTCCAATCAATGAATTACTCATCGTTCTTTTGTGCTATGTGCTAATTCATGTTCAAAACCCTTTTTGCCAATTACTTGTTCAAAGTAGAGTATTCCTCTTGCTTTCAGCACATATCCAAGTTCTACTAGTTTTTCAACACTCAGTTCAAGAAGTTGAACTTTTCTTTAAAGGCTCTGGCATCTCTTTAGGACTGATATACCTGCTAAAAAGGGAATTTCTGAATATTTTGGCATTATGGCAGAATTCAATTGGTCTTGTAATATCAGCATAAGAGATATGATGACCTGAGATCATTTTTTGTATTTTAAGAATTACAGTCATAGTTTTGTGGCTCTAATAATTAGATAAAACAATCATAAATTATTTTGAAGCCACGCCCAAAGTGAGGCCCAAAAACTATGTCCCAGTGATCAAGCAATTATTGACTCCAATGATAACATATGAAGTATGCAAAAGAGAGACAATGAAATGATCTATGATTTCATAAGAACATATGAGATTTTGGAAAATAAAGCAATTCACATAAAGCATTTTTCTGAATATATTCAAATACATCACACAAACCTACATAGATACTGTGTCACTAACTTATAAATATTTCTCTCTAATTTATTGTTTTCATTAAAATATGAAATAGAATTCAGGAATATTTACTGGATATATAAAAATATTTATTGTCAATAACATATTTTACTAACAAGAGAATATTTACTCAAAAGTTGTAATAACACTATTTCCCACAAAAATGATAGCAAAAACACATTCACATTATTTTAGAAAACAGAAAAGCTGGTATTGATGTAAATAAGAACATCAATAAATATTTTATATATTTTGGTGCCTATGTTACTGACATATTTCTAAGTACATTTTTAAAGAATCTTTCTTATATTTAATAAATGTACCCACTTGACACTCAATTGATAATTTATCTTTGCAGAAAACATAAGCAAATGCTTCTCGATGGTTTCCAGAGATTTTTTCAGTTTTATAATTTATTTCTATATAGCTAAACATCACTTTTATTATGCACAGGATTTTATTAGTTTATTCTGTATCCCTATCTCCTCCACATTATACAGGTAACATGTAAAGATATCAATATTCATACTAAGTTTGAAATATACTTTCCATTAATGAATACAATAATTTAGCATGAAGACTCAACAAATGAAAAGAACTCAAGGTACATGAGGCATAGATAGAAAGTTTTTCATAACACTTTTACTTTTTTACTGTAAGAATATAGATTCCTTCAAACACAATGACTAATTCACATTCATTTGGAACTATGAAACAAAATTTTAATATCAACATACACTATTGCTGTCTAAATGTAGAGTTGAAATTCTTACCTGAGTTTGGCTTAGTATACAGTTATTTTTTAAAGACAGGAAATGTATGACAAATTGTCAGGATAATAACACCACAGTGGAAAAATGAAAGGGGAAAGGAAGAAATCACTTTAAAAAGAAACTCCAAATCCTTCTGCTTCCCAGCTCTACAGTAGTTTTGCTCTGCATCTTGTAAGCAACTGTCTTTGCTCCGAGAACAACACATGCTCTGCCTCAGCAGGAAAATATAAAAATTAAATAGAAAACCACAAGGTTATTAAACACTCTTACCCTCTGGGCTTGCTGGGCTGTTCCAGCGTCTCAGTTGCAGCCACATGTGTAAACAACAGAATTTCCTGCATCCTTTTCTCATCTGTACAGTTCTGGAGTCCTAGCCAACAGGATTATTTCCAGCATTAAGGGCACTCCACACAAACTCAAAAAAGATTCCCATTGGTTGTGAAATTTTATTGAAACCACTACCACAACCCCCTCTTTGGATCACCATTGAGCCAACCAAAATAAAATCATTTTTAATGTTCCCTAAGTATGGTTATCCAAAGCTTTCCATACAAGCATTTGAAACCTGTACTGTGGATGAAAAAGAAAAAGACACCCACGCCTTCATCCCCAAGTGTACTTAATGTTTAATTACAACAGTATAACTTGTAATAATAATAGAAAAAACTAAAATAGCAAAGCAAAATAAAAGCCTAGGAAGTACCTATCTGCAAAATATTTAAAAGAAAATTATACTGCAGATTACAAGAATATAAAATATTCATCCAATCTGATTTGCATTAGATTGCACAAAAGCAAAAGCAAAAGAAATCATATTTAATAAAAGATTTGAGTATACAAATTATGAAACAAGAACTGTCTATCAAAACCCTTGATCATGGTCACATTGGCAGGAATGTGAGCTGTAGTCCCTGGGGTGCCCAGTGAAAGCTCCCTGGCTTTTTCCCCTTTCCCTGGGGAAAAAGAATATGAAGTAGCTTTCCAGTGACATGACTCAGCTGTCAGGAAGTGTTCTGATGGGGGTTGTCGGGGGAGGTCAAAGACCACATAAAAGAGAGCTTCTGTGGTTGAAACTAGCAGTAAAAAATGTCCAAAGTAGAAAAGAAAACGTCAAAAGGTAACAGGATTGACTTGCTCCTTGTAAGTAGCACAAAAACAGCATGTGAAATGTAGGCAATAATGTCTTCGAATTGTTTTATTTTTCACCCTTCCCTAATTTGTAGGCTTATTCTGGTGTTATCGTCTATCTCTACTTAATATTCTTTTCCCACTTACTTTCTGATGCAATGGAAAAGGTGGCCAGCTTCCTATATAAAGCCAACTGACCCATTCGAGCTAAACTTAATCATGATTCTCGCTCCTCTATCTTTGAACATTCCCTCTTGTCCGGATTTTCCCCACGAGATGTTAAATACCATACATTCCTTGGTCAATTTCATGTATGCCAATGAACTTTACTTTCAATTCAGTCATTTTCACTTTCAGGTACCATTCTTTCCATCATGGCCAAATGATTGAAAGTTCTCCAGCCAAGAATTTTATTTAGTCTTGCATCCATCTGATTTTAATTCATCAAAGTGACTACACACACATACACACACACACACACATGCATGCACATAAATATTCTATTTATTTTTAATTTTTCCAATTCACCTCAATCCTTCTTCTAGTTGACATCTACACAGCCTTTCATACTGTTCACAATCCTGCCCACATGAAGACATCTCTTATCTTGGCACAACACTCTCCCGGTTTTCCTCTTGACCTCTTTTTCTGGCTCTTCTCGTCCTCTTTGATGATGCCTCATCCTCCATCCATCCATTGGTGCGTGTCACGTATGTTCTTAGATAAATTCACATAAAAAAGTGTATATTCTGTCTCTGGATGATGCCACCCATCCTCATAGTTTCAATTACCATCTTTCTTTTTGGATGGCTCCCAAATATCTACTTTTAGACCCAATGACTGTCTGAATTTTCAGTACTTATACTTGTCAGCCCACTATTCCCCTCACCCAGAAAATGACACAGATATAGCATCAGCTTGTCTAAACTGAAATCATCATCTCTCGATGGACCTGCTATGTTATCTATATAACTGTCAACCCAGTTTTACAGTTTCTCAAAGAAAAATCCTGGAAGTCACCCTTGACTCCTTCTACTAGTTCCTTTTCATTGTACTTCAATAATTTTCCTAGTCTTCTTTTTTTTGTTTGTTTGTTTGTTTTTTGTTTTTTGTTTCTTGTTTTTTTAATTTTTTTTAAATTATACTTTAAGTTCTAGGGTACATGTGCATAACGTGCAGGTTTGTTACATATGTATACTTGTGCCATGTTGGTGTGCTGCACCCATCAACTCGGTCACGCACCAGCATCGTCATTTACATCAGGTATAACTCCCAGAGCAATCCCTCCCGCTCCCTCCTTCCCTGTGATAGGCCCCGGTGTGTGGATGTTCCCCTTCCCAAGGTCCAAGTGATCTCATTGTTCAGTTCCCACCTATGGAGTGAGAACATGCGGTGGTTTGGTTTTCTGTTTCTTGCGATAGTTTGCTGAGAATGATGGTTTCCAAGCTGCATCCATGTCCCTACAAAGGACACAAACTCATCGTTTTTTATGGCTGCATAGTATTCCATGGTGTATATGTGCCACATTTTCTTTAATCCATCTGTCACTGATGGACATTTCGGTTGATTCCAAGTCTTTTGATATTGTGAATAGTGCCGCAATAAACATACATGTGCAATGTGTCTTTATAGGCAGCCATGATTTATAATCCTTTGAGGTATATACCCAGTTAATGGGATGGCTGGGTCATATGGGTACTTCTAGTTCTACGATCCTTGAGGAATCGCCATTACTGTTTTCCATAATGGTTGAACTAGTTTACAATCCCACCAACAGTGTAAAGTGGTTCCTATTTCTCCACATCCTCTCCAGCACCTGTTGTTTCCTGACTTTTTAATGATTGCCATTCTAACTGGTGTGAGATGGTATCTCATTGTGGTTTTGATTTGCCTTTCTCTGATGGCCAGTGATGATGAGCATTTTTTCATGTGTCTGTTGGCCGTATGAATGTCTTCTTTTGAGAAATGTCTGTTCATATCCTTTGCCCACTTTTTGATGGGCCAGTCTTCTTTTCTCACTGCCACTACTCTGGTTCAGACAACCATCATGATCTTTCTAGATCACTGCAGTGTCTCTCTGCCTCTTAAATTGTCTCTCTTCTCCCAGCCTTCTGCTCCATCTCCAAAAAGATACAGTAGTCTATTTCCGGTACTTCTGCACTTGAATTCCCTGAAGGATTTTTAATCTTTTTGTCAACTCCCTTTTTCGTAATACATTGGCTTTTCTTGGTTTCTAAAACACAACTTTCCTAGATTATTTTTTCACCTTTCTGACCATGTCATATTTTTATCTCCTCTCTAATTACTTTTCTCTCCTTTCAACAGTGGAACACCTTCAAGAAGCCATCACTGGTCCTATTCTTATTTCACATTTCTGTCTAGGTGAGCACATCTATTTTTGAGGCTTCTTTTGCCACACATATTTGGTGAGTTGAATTGTGTCCTCTAAGAAGATATGTTGAAATCCTAACTCCCTGTACCTATGAAGATGATTATTTGGAAATATGGTCTTTGAAAATGTAATCAAGTTACACTGAGGCCATACTGAGTGAAGGGGAACCATAATCCAAGGACTGGTATCTTCATAAAAAGAGGGAAATGTAGACAAAACACACAGAGGAGAATGCTATGGGAGAGACAGGGACAGCAATTGGAGTGATATGTCTACAAACCAAGGATTGCCAACAATCACCAGAATCAGGAGAGTCAAAAAAGGGTTCTCCCCTAGTGCTTTCAGAAAGAGTATTGCTGGTTGACACTTTGATTTTGGACTTCTGTCCTTCAGAACTATGAGATCAATTGTTTTAAGTGACAAACGTGTGATATTTGTTACAGCAGCCCTAGTAAACCAATAGACATATAATTCTGAAATATATATGGTCTTTCCTTAATAGTTTCTAAAGCTTCAGATCTGTATTTCCAAAGTCTAATAAAATATTCACTAGGAGCCATTCAAATCTTTCAATAATCTCCAATCCTCCAAGCTCTTATATTTCTTCCAAATACTTT